AGTTGATTTATTTTGCTTAGAGCGATAACCGACGTTTGATGCAAAGACTGATGTGAAGTTACCTTGTTCTGCGAATGTCGTAAGCAGTTAATCTTTACATTCATTTGTCGTGTTCTTTTGTGTGCGTATAGATAGATAGATAGATAGAGATAGATAGATAGATAGATAGATAGATAGATAGATAGATAGATATAGACAGTCAGATAGATAAATAGGTAGATAGACATAGATGCATAGATAGGGAGATATTATATTAAATATATATATATATATATATGTGTGTGTGTGTGGTGTGTGTGTGTGTGTGTGTGTGTGTGTGTGTGTGTGTGTGTATGTGTGTGTGTGTGTGTGTGTACCCAGACATTAACAGTCAGGCACATACATATATATTACAGATAACACTTTGCACTATTAAGGAATTCATTCATGGAGATTAGGAATCTGATGGGCTTTTGGAGCCGGCGAGAACCGCCGCACCTGCTAATGGTGAGGTTACAGACAATTATTTAAATAAATTTCTGTCTATTGATTATATAGAAAAGCATAATAGACTAATCACCAATAAAAAAGAATATAAGATTCTTGCTGATCATTATTAATGGTAACCACGTTTGTATTATTGACATACACAGCTTGAGCTCGCATGCTGCATGCGTCGGCTGCATGCGTCGACCATCATCCCATGCTGGGCCACAGCGCATGCGTCGACCATCATCCCATGCTGGGCCACAGCGCATGCGTCGACCATCGCATGCGTCGACCATCATCCCATGCTGGGCCACAGCGCATGCGTCGACCATCATCCCATGCTGGGCCACAGCGCATGCGTCGACCATCATCCCATGCTGGGCCACAGCGCATGCGTCGGCCGAATTCTGGCGTTTATAAATAAGAGGATGTGGCAAATCCCGGTTCATTAGGGGCAGCACAGCCCAAGGAGTCCTCATCAAGTCAGCCAAAAAAATGAAAGTCCTTCCTTTTCTCATCCTCAGCGCGATATCATTCGTGTGTAGCGGATACGCAAGAACTCCACACGAAGGCATGGACTCTGACGTCGCCAAGAGAGAAATTCCGGACGTCAATCGCAACTTTTCTTCGAGATTCGTCGTCGACACCAAGAGACAGGCAAGACATGGCTTCTTAAAGAGGATGCTGAATGACGGACCACCTTCGCCGTCGCGGGAGGTCTTGCCTGTTGCCAGTGCGCTGCTGCAGATCATGGGCAGATACCTCAAGAAGTGCCTGACTGTGGTGACCCCAGAAGAGGGCACGGGAGCAGGGGCGCTTCTGCGGAGAATTGGGCAAGCAGGGTTCCCTGCCATGGTGTCCAAGCCTCAGCACTCAGCCCAACGCAACGTCAGTTTTGCTGGTTAGTAGACATATACATGTACATATTCATACTCACATACACACACACACACACACCACACACACACACACACACACACACACACACACACACACACACACACACACACACACACACACATATATATATATATATATATATATATATATATTTATATATATATATATTTGTATGCATGTACTTATGTATATATATATATTATATATATATAATATATATATATATTATATATATATTATGTATATGTACACACATGTATATATGTATTATATGTATATATATGTATGTATATACATCTATATTATATATATATACATATTATATACATATACACATTTATACATATATTATATATGTATGTACACAGGCACACATACATTATATACATATATGTATGTATAATAAAATATATATATACAAATATATGTATATATAAACATATTTAAATATGTAACATATATATATATATGTATATATATATATATATATATATATATATGTGTGTGTGTGTGTGTGTGTGTGTGTGTGTGTGTGTGTGTGTGTGTGTGTGTGTGTGTGTGTATAAATATATGTATATGAAAATATTTAAATATAACACACACGCACACGCACGCACACACACACACACACACACACACACACACACACACACACACACACACACACACACACACACACATATATATATATATATATATATATATATATATATATATATATATATATATATTCCGTAATAGGTTTACATTAGGTGTCGTATCGTAAGGATGAACTGGTAGACTAATACAGTCGTAAAGAATTTCATGTTTATTTAGACGTTTCGAAGGAAAAAAAACTATACCTCCATCATCAGTACTGTTAAAAGAAAAATAAGGTCAAGATAGATAGTATTAATACGTAATAATAGTTCTGAATTGGGATTAAAAACAAATTACAAATATATGAAGGTGAATACTAACAATATATACGTACATGTAAGGCAAAGAAATACATATGATAATAACTAGAATATAAGTGGAACAAAATAACGAATGGAACAAAATAACATATACAATACAGGGGTAAACGAACCAGAGTGTGTTGGTTGAGAGGGAAGGTCTGTTGGGTGAACAAGGCGGTTGCGGTGGTTGAGTTGTTTAGTCCTGGGTTCATCTTGTGTATAAGAAGGGATTCTGAGATAAGGAGGTCAAGGCGGGAAGAGTGTGAGGATAGAATACTGAAATCTGTGTTACGGAAAGGGTGTGAGTGAAGTTGAGTGTTCTCTTATTGCTGAGAAAGATGGATTACTCAGAGGGAGGCCAGTCCTGGCGGATTTGCCTTTGTGTTCTAAGATGCGGTGTCGTAGCCATCGTGAGGTAGAACCCACGTCCCAAGACGTAGAGAGTGTTGCTTTAGAAATTTGGCAATATTGTTAGTGTTAGTGAAGACAAACGTGAATTTAATTTGGGGGTAATGGTTTTGCAGCAGTACTTTTAGCTGTTTCATAATTTCAAAGTTTAAACTACCCATATATGGTAGTTTAACATACATTTGGTCTTTTTTTAACAGCAGGGGCAGTGTGCTGTTAGAGAATATTTTGCAAAGGAAGTTTTAGTAATTTATCAAACAAAAATAATGGTTACCCATTAGTTACAAAGAATTTTAAGAAAAAACAGTTGGTCTTTTTTTAACAGCAGGGGCAACAGTTGACCAGTTGCTACATAAGTCGTAGGCTCGAGTGATTAGAGTTTTAATGCTATTAATCTTGTATAAATAAAGAATATAGCTGAGGAAGTGAAGTCCGCGGCCAGTAAGGGTTGGCTTTCAGTTAATGCTTGTGTGGAAGATACCGTTGTCATTGGTGACTAGCGTGTCCAAAAACGGTAACTGATTGTTTTCTTGCATCTCACAGGTAAATTTGATGTTCCCGTGTTTCGAGTTAAGGTATGTTAAAAATAGATTTACGCGTGATGGGTGTTTGAAGAGGGAAAATGTGTCATCAATGTATCTTCGATAATAGATGGGTTTAAAGACAGACAGACATTGTTCAAGCCAGGTTTGTTCGTGATAACAAAGGAATGCATTAGCGTAGGAAGGGCCTCGGCTGCTGTATGCCCCGACTAAAGTCAGCTTCCACATGTTTTACTTGTATTTTGAAAATTTGTGTAATAATTAAAAAAAACTAACATTTATAGAAGTCATTTCAACAATGTTACAATATCTCTTCTACATTTGATTTTAATCCTATTGAGTTATAGGGTCAGCCGCTCGAGTTTTCCTTCTCTATAATCTTCGATCACGAGTTCTACAGTGCCTAGTGCCCTCATATCTTCTTTGGCAGTATCTTTCCATCTCTTCCTTTGCCTTCCTACACTTCGCCTGCCTCTCACCTCCATTTCCACCGCTCTTCTAACCGGGTCTTCTTCAGCTCCTCTTTTCACATGGCCGAAATATCTCAAACGGGCTTCGCGAGCCTTCTCCCTTATACTGCATATTTCTGCCATTCTGCGGATGTCGGCACTCTCTCCTCTTTCTCCTGCAGATGTCGGCACTCTCTCCTCTTTTCTTTTCCCGCTATCCATCGAACCATTCGCATCTCTGTCCTCTCCAGCAAATTCTCCTCCTTCCTTCTCAAGGCCCAAGTCTCTGCCCCATTTAAGAGGAAAGGTCTTAAGACAGTCTTATAGACCTTCATTTTAAGTTTCAGGGAGATCTTATCCAGTACAACTCCAGTCACTTCTTTCCACTTCCTCCAGACTTCTTTTACTCTCTGTCTCACCGCCTTTTCTGTTCTTCCTTCTTCTGTAAACACTGACCCTAAGTACTTGAATTCAGTACTTTGCTTGATTCTTCTTCTGTCTTCTGATATTAAATTCATTTCTTCTCGGCCTGTTCTACTGCTCATCATTCCTTCTATCTTTGACATTCACCTGTAATCCACTTTGTTCCATTTTCTCCTTCCAAGCTATGTATCTTCTTTGCAACTCCTCTTCTGTTTCCGCCACTATAACTGTCATCTGCAAAAAGGAGTTCCCACAAGTCTTGTGGTTCCTCCTCTCTAAACTCTAATGTCAGTGTGTCCATGACACACTGACCCTAGTGGTCCGACATTGACTATTAAAAACAGAAAGTACTAAGGGCTGAGCCCAGGTGGTCCGACATTGACACAAAAAGGATCAGTGTCTCCAAAAGGTGTGCGAACAAGGGTCTTTGTTTCCTTGTACATCATCTTGATGAGTCGTATGAGATGTTCCGGGTCTCCCCTCTTCCCCAGGCCTGTCGTACGCTTTCTCAAGGTCGGCGAAGCAGTATTTACGGTTGCCCTCTAAAAACTTTGCCTGCACCTGTCTCATAATGAATATGGCATCCACCGTGCTTCTTCCCGGCATAAAACCAAATTGGTATTCATGGATATTAACTTGTCCTCTGAGTTTCTGGTCTATTACTCTTTTTAGTACTTTTAATATATGTTCTAATAACTTTATACCTCAATGACTGTCACAATATCTCCACGATAGCTAAAAACTCTTAAGAAATTGTCACGTCAGATAAAACAGCCACGTGACTCAGAGGTGCTCCTATCTCCTCTAGACACATAAAACGACAGCACTCTAATAATTGCCAAACCGGACAAGGGTCGTGGTGTTGTCAT